TATGCCCCACTGGGGCTTGTGCCTCATTACTCCCTCATGTCCTTGCACGTACCCCTCCCTAACTCCCCTTCCTGATGTCAAATAAAATACATGTATTTTCATGAACACAAACACTCTTTATTTAACAAAACTGGTGGTGGTGGGAGGGGGATGAAACTCTGATGAGGCTGGGGAAAGGACGTGGGGGAGGGGAAGAGAGAAGGTGAGAGGGGGAACGGGGAAACCTGGGAGGAGGGAGTTGGAAGGGGGAAACAAGGAGAAGAAGGGGGAGGGGAAGCTCAGGGTTGGGGGTCTCCCCAGACCAACTTGATTTTCATGCAAACCTGATCCTGTGTTCACATGTGGCCTTTGGTGGCCAGGCTGGCAGCTATCCTGCCATAGACAGCCACGTTCCTCCATATAGTGTGGAGATCATGGATGTTGGGGGCATCCCCCTCAAACCTGAATAAGGTCCAGGATCTCCAACCTGGAACAGGAAGACACCTGCCTTCTCTGAGCCATGGCAGGCTCCTGAGAGCTGGCAGGCTGCTCCTTTGGGGCCACGGGGTCAGGGGCAGTGACTGCTGGCTCTGCGCTGGCAGGCTTGGAGCTGGCACAGGCACTGTGGCCAGAGTCAACCCCTTTAAGGGCTCCAGGGAGGAGGGAGGGAGAGGAGTGTTCTTGGTTGAGGCTGGAGTGGCCACCAGGGCACCTTGGGAAGGCTGGAGGCCCCCTATTTTGAAATAAGTGTCTACACAGCACTTATTTCGAAATAGCTATTTCAAATTTGGCATTATTACTCATGGAATGAGGTTTACCAAATTCGAAATAAGCCCTCCACTATTTCAAATTAATTTCAAAATAGTGGTTTGGCTGTGTAGATGCTAGTAAAGTTATTTTGAAATAACTTTGCTGTGTAGACATACCCAGAGTTAGTTTTAAATCTGCTTTTTGGTGATAAGTAAACCGAATAAAGGCATCTGGATCTCTGTCTAGTCTAGTGATTTTGTGTCATCAGAAAATCGTTTCCATCTAGTCACTTGATATTGTCAGTGTCGGAGAGGATTCAGAATAAAAATCTCAGGATTATTTCCAGGACTGCAGCTGTAATACAACAGATGCAAGTATAGTGCTTGTCAGTGCTCATCCTCACCCCCAAATTTGGGCAGCAATAGCACCTGCCTGAACAATCATATTTACAAAATGAAGAACAGTTTAACAGGAATGGGCTGGACTCAACCACTGACAGCTACTACCTTTTGGTTCTTTCCCCAGCTCATCTGTGCATTAAAGCTCTTGGTAATTTCAGTGGAAGCATCAGTTCCTTGTGTCAATTGAGTTAAAGCATCATTTTGTGAAAGGCGGCCTTCACAGACAACATCTCCATGGTGAAGAATGACACTGATACCAGTCAGTATTGTAGTAAGTTACCAAATATCCACTCTTCCTAGGATTGCAGGAAATCCCCATATTTAAAGCCATCTCAGTCTTTGCCACTACTCAATGTCCAAGATGATACACAGCTAGACATTAAGGTCCTATCTTGCACTACTGACATCAATTGTAACTTCCCCAGTGAATTAAATGGGCACTGGGCCATACTCTTACTTTAGGCTTCTGTATAACTGAGGCAGCAATAAAAGACCACGTTTTTATTTGGGAGTTCAAGGCCTTCAAAAACATTTAGCTCCTGGGTGTGGGTGGGTGGGGAGAAATCACTTAATAGGATGGGAAGGAGTCTGCGTTCTATACAGATATGGCCTCTCCTGGGAGGAGCATGTTGCCTTTGATTTGCAATTTTAACTTTTGTACCCTGAGAAAAATATTGCAGTAAGTCAGCAGATTCAACAGCTTTGTGTTTTAAATATAATAAAGCAGAGTGCACACCAAGTGTGGGCTCTGGAAAATAGCGCACTTTTATAGTTTTTAATAAGTGTTTTATCTGGATAGAACACAGAGTGACTCAGAGTGCTGATTCCAATAAAACAGTAACTCAGTTCAGAAGCAGACACTAAGATATTATCAGTGTTCAGGTTAATGCCGACTTGCAGCAGGGGGTGCATTTTCAATTCACTAGATGGGGAGTAAGCCATGAAATATCCATTAGTTCCAGTGGTTAAAGCTTTGTGCATTGTACACAGTTTGTACCATTAGGTGGTGCCTGGGTAATAAAATTCTGCTCCCTGATCTAGAAGTTGGCACCTCCCTTATTGTCTGATGAACTGTGGAATCCACCCTACTGAGATCTCTTGTTCCTCAAAGTACACAGCTCTAAGAAGCAACATTTTCAGCAGTTTTATTCAGTACTTGGAAGATGCTGAAAATTATGTTCAGGCATGTGCTGTTTCAGTAGGATAGTGATGTCAGAAACACTGACTACATCAAAGTTTATACCTCACTCACATAAAGGATGGGGATAACAAAAAATGCTCTGTCCATTGAGCCCAAGTAAAGGCCTGCTCAGACTCTCAAACTTTCATTGGTTCATGCTATGAAAGGTGGAAAGAGACCGATAAGGTTTGTCTTGTACCCAAAAATCCTCAGTTAAGATATCACCAGAATTGCCATACTGGAACAAATCAGTGACTAATCTAGCCGGGAGTGGGGGGGCTGACAGCCTTGACGGGCTCCTGGGCAAGGTGTGTGGGTAGGGTGCCCAGAGTGCACTGTGCAGTTATCTGGCACAGAGTTAAAAGGTCTGGGGTAGTTGCCCCATTTGTTCCCCCGTCAGCCATCTCCAAGAGTGGCTAGTATCAGGAATTTCAGAGAAGGATGTAAAAATTCTACCATGAACATATTTGCAGTAAGTTAAGTACAGAGGCTTCATAGGGGTAGTGAAGTTAGTCTGTAACTGGAATAACTTAACACAACTAATAGTCTTGCAGCACGTGAGGGTGTGTCTAGACTACATGGCTTCATCGACGGAGCCATGTAGATGAGGCAGGACGGCAAAGGGAAATGAAGCAGCGATTTAAATAATTGCCGCTTCATTTAAATCAATATGGCCACCGCGCTGTGCCGATCAGCTGTTTGTCGGCACAGCGCAGCAGTCTAGACAGGGATCTGCCAACCCCAGAACCCTTTGTCGGCAGATCCCTTTATGCCTCATGAAACGAGGTTTACAGGATCTGCCAACAAAGAGTTCTGGGGTCAGCAGATGTGTGCACTCATCTGCCTCGTTGACAGAGTCATGTAGTCTAGACTCACCCTTAGAGACTAGCAGAACATATAGGGTACGTCTAGACTACATGCCTCTGCTGTCAGAGGCATGTAGATTAGGCTACCCAGCATAGGAAAATGAAGCGGCGATTTAAATAATCGCCGCTTCATTTAAATTTACAGGGCTGCCGCGCTGAGCCGATCAGCTGTTTGGTGGCTCAGCGCGGTAGTCTGGACGCACGGATGTCGACATCAAAGGCATTTGTTGACCACCCAGGTATGCCTCCTGTAAATTTAAATGAAGCGGCGATTTAAATAATCGCCGCTTCATTTAAATTTACAGGGCTGCCGCGCTGAGCCGATCAGCTGTTTGGTGGCTCAGCGCGGTAGTCTGGACGCACGGATGTCGACATCAAAGGCATTTGTTGACCACCCAGGTATGCCTCCTGTAAATTTAAATGAAGCGGCGATTTAAATAATCGCCGCTTCATTTAAATTTACAGGGCTGCCGCGCTGAGCCGATCAGCTGTTTGGTGGCTCAGCGCGGTAGTCTGGACGCACGGATGTCGACATCAAAGGCATTTGTTGACCACCCAGGTATGCCTCCTGTAAATTTAAATGAAGCGGCGATTTAAATAATCGCCGCTTCATTTTCCTATTCTGGGTAGCCTAATCTATATGCCTCTGGCGACAGAGGCATGTAGTCTAGACGTACCCATAGATGGTATCGTGAGCTTTTGTGGGCACAAGCCACATCTTCAGATGAATGGAGTTAGTAAAAGTCCAGTTTCTAAATAAATAGAGGAAGGGGGAGAAAAGGAAAAAAGAGGGAAAGAAATAGTCAATTAGAGTGTCCATGCTACATGTAGCTGATGGAGAATGTACTAACTGTTCTTAAATACTCATTGTTTGTTTATGTCTTTAGCATATGGCATGTAGCGGGCCATCCAGCCAGTGTCTTTATTCATACTTATTAATAAATACAGAAGAATTATTTTCCTAGCGGCAGGGACTTATGTGGTTGGGTTACATGCTGTGGCTTGAAAACTGATCTCTCTTATACATTTTTACCCTGCTATTACTGAATAGCCAGCAACATACACAACCTGGTTAAAAACAAGTCACTTTAAAAATTGGATTTAGGTGCAGATAAATGGACTCTCAGTCTGATATTTCAACGTAGCACCACAGGTATAATTTTCACAGTCCATGCCAAAATGTTGGTTGACCTTATAAACATCAATGCACACATTAAGGGGCATACTGTCAAGGGCTCACTGGAGCATTTTGCAGAGCAATCTTACTTAATCTTAAAGCAGTTATATTAATATTCAGCTCTGAACAGCAAACCTGGGCCTTACATCCCACAAAGGGAACAAAACAGTCTTTCATTGGCTCAAAAAAGGTGCTGGGAGGGTCAGAATTACTGGGTTCAGACAGTGGAAGACCCTTCCTATGCTGTCCTAGCTTCACCCAGCACTGGCTCTTGAAAAAAGTCCTTTATATCTTGCCTGTGGGCTCTGATAGGATTCTTCCTCATCCCAGTCTTTTTAGTCTCTGGCGGATTAATACTTATTCTGGCTGACCTTTTTAGATAGCCCTCCATGAATGAGCTAACTTCACGCTCCCCTTAAGGACACCTTCTTTGGGCAAGCAGTGGTAAGACAACAGAACCTCTAGCGAGGGGCAGAAAAAACTTGATACCTCCGTTCTATTTAAAATTGTTTTGTGAGTCCAGCTGCATCATAGCACTCAGTATTCTGCAATGAAGCAAAAGATTTTTCAGTCTTCCATGAAAACTTCTTTTTCCAGAAATTGTAAGAACGTTGTCTTCTTTTTAATGTAAAAAAATGGAGCAAAATTTTATTTTCTGTACCCAATCTATTGAGTAAAATCATAAAAAAGTATTCACAGACAACACAGAACATACATTCATAGACTGCAGAAATTTCAGGCAACATATCAAAATACTAATCTAATAATATAAAAAAATCAGCAGTATACTGGTTTTAGTTTGGGTGTGAAAATTTTCCTCTCTCCTCTAGCTTAGGATTTTTCTAATCATTCTGTCCCACTGACAATAGGGACTAATACTCATGGAATCATAAATGCAGCTGCATCTCTTAACAGTTATGACATGACATATTATCTATGTATGCCAAACTTTCCTCAGTGCTGAATTCAGAGGCCCATTATATGATATGTCTACATTGCAATCCAAGGTGTGATGCACCATGTGCAGTTAGCCTTGATTTATCTTGCTCAGTAACAATAGCAGTGAATCTAAAATCCCTCAGTGGGGTGCTGCAGAAATGTGACAATGTTGACTCCAGCTATGCTACTCACATAGCTAGAGTTGTGTATCTTAAGTTGACTTTCTTCTACACTGTAGACATGTCCTTAGAAGAAATACAGCTAAGCCCTCTGAGCCAAGGCTGCATTCAGATAACGATATTTGAGAGGCATAGGTGAAAAGGAGCCAAAATCCGGGGAATGGCCAGAAGTGGTATAGAAAGATTCCCACATCATCTGGGGTATTTATGAGGTCCCATCACCATAGTGTCATTGCCTTATAATGTCTACCCTATTTCTTCTAGATAGGGTTGCTCAGATATTTAAGTATGAAGTGTACAATTATTTAGCACATGTTAATATCTGTGAGTGGAGGCGCTGATGGCAATATGAGTTTTACTTGATTGATTAAGAATTAGAAGATTTGACCATCCAACTTTCTTTCAAGATAAAGAACTGACAAGAGTCCTCCTTGCCTGTTTTTCTTTCCTGCATACAGTGGCCCTGTGATTTCAGGCCTCAGTTTTTTCCCTTCAGCTTTAAAATGTAGAATTGCTTGGTTTTAAATGTTCTCCTGTGAGAACTTTAACTCAATCACTGTAGTGCTGTGTTTAAGAGCCTTCTGGAAAAAGCCACTGCCTTTAAACAGAAGTGAAAGCAATTTTGCCAACTCTCATGATTTTGTCATGAGTCTCATGGTAACAATTTTCCTTAAAGCCTCAGCTCCTGGAGTCAAGTGGAAATGTGAGGATTTCAGTCTTCATGCTTAAACAAAAATGAGATTTTAGCTCTCCTGGCTGTCACAGAAGCTTCAAAATGAGACCCCAGTGCATCCTAGAGGCTCAAGATCTAGAAAGAAAATAAAAAGAACACAAGGCTATATTTATATAATCTCATGATATCAAATCCAATCTCATGATTTTTGATGGGCCCGATTCATGATTTTTGGACATTTAAGTTTGGCAATACTGTAAAAGTGACTTGAAAGTGCCAGTTTCACTCCTTTTTAGGTTCAGTTTCTAGTTTATTATTTTCAGTGGGCTAACACCCCCTAAGCTGTGTCTAGATTACATCCCTTGTTCAACAGAGGGATGTAAATTAGACACTTTGAAATTGCAAATGAAGCCGGGATTTGAATTTCCTATGCTTCATTGCATAGCGCTTTTTCAAGAGTGCCATTTCAAAAGTAAAACAGCGGTCTAGAATTGGGTCTTTCGAAAATAGAAGCCTTTTTCAAAAGATCAAAAAATGAGGTTTATAGGCTTCTATTTTCGAAAGACCCAATTCTAGACCGCTGTTTTACTTTTGAAATGGCACTCTTGAAAAAGCGCTATGCAATGAAGCATAGGAAATTCAAATCCCGGCTTCATTTGCAATTTCAAAGTGTCTAATTTACATCCCTCTGTTGCAAGAGGGATGTAATCTAGTTGTCCCCCTAGAGACCTAAGCAGGTGCAGTATAAACTCACAGGGCCTTGCCCTAATAGAATGTTTTCAAAGGTTAAATGATCTGTTCTACCCTTGGTGAACTGCAAAAAAGTACTCTAGATTTCTCTACAGTTGTTTCAAATGTTGTTTTCAAGAATTAGTAACAAAGTCAGAACATATATTAAAATTTATAGCTTAACCAGTGTCCCTTCAGTGAGTTGACACTAGATTTGAGAACATGGTACTATTAGACCAGAGTGGATATACTATCTATTTTATTCCTTTTTATAATTTCTAAGTAGTTGCTGGAATTTTGGTTTAACTTGCTCCACTCTACCAAAATCTGAAATATCACCCCTGTTCTTGAGCTAGAACAAAGCTAACTTAGGTATTCTACCCACATTGCAATCCACCTCAGAGTGAATCTATGTTGGTGTAATTTACCCACTACAGGGGCTAGAAGTGCAAGTACAACAGCTTAGACTCTGTTAAGATTCATGTACATGGCCCCCTGAATTTAGCCCTCTGTCTCCTGTGCAGCAGCATTAAAATCAGTGCTACATTTGGAAGCAGCAGTACCCTAGTGATTTTTAAATGGTCAGTAAAAATGGAGATATTACACTGCCATAATTATTTCTGAGGGAAAAAATGTGATTTTTAGAAGTGTGTTGAAGCGAATGTATAGGACAATGACATTAGTCATATAGCTGGTATCTCGGAGCGATGAGCATATAGAGCACTAAATGACTTTCACCATCCCTATGTCTCTCTTAAAAATATGTTTGTTTGGTTTTTACTCTGGATCTTCTGCATGTTAATGTGCAGCTCTTCATGTGCAGTTTATATATTCTGACTCAGAAAGAAGTCTTCCGTCAACTCCATTGTGGAATTGACGCATGACTTGCTCACACATCTTTCTGCAGCTTTGCTCTTCCTAGTTTAAATCCTGTGCTTTTTATTCATATATACAAGTAGTGTGGGGAACAATTTTATAGCAGTTTTGATAGTCATGGCACTAGAAGCATCTCTCTGGAACATGAAGCAGAAGAAGCTTCCCATCCCAATAGACAAACTGAGGTGAGTCATGACAGAAGCTTTCCTATGAGGAGAGATGTAGTCTCCAGTTGCCAACTCACAGAAGGGAAAGTAGTGGCATAATTTCCATCCCTCTCTTCCCCCCATCTCTCTGTCCAACCCTATGGAAGATTCCACTCACTTATATAGGCCAGTTGTGACAGCAAAGGACAATCCGGCCTGATTGTATAATTGGTATCCTTCTCTTCAGGGAAGACTCAGAAGAACTAAGGATGGATGGTTGCAGGAGACAGCAGCCAGCCCAACTACTATGTTGCTAAGGTCAGCCTGGGAACCACAGAACTTAAAGGGGCTGCTGTTGGTGCTTCTTGTACTCTACATAATCATTAAAATAGTCACCAATTCACAGGATTCAGAGGCCAAGCTGGCCAGAATAGCAACAAAGAAAGGTTATAAACAAGTGGCAAAGAAAGAGAAAGAAGAGCTTTCCAGACACTATGGAAGGATGGGCAATAATATGAGAGCAGGAGCTATCCCTGGTTCTGAAAGAAGGATAGAACAGTAGAGGAGCAGGAAGAGCCTTCTTTGTGTGGACCTATCCTGGCAGATGGAAAGGCTGTGGAAAAGATGACCCCTCAGGTAAATGCATAAGGGGAAGTGACCTGAGCAAGTCATCTCAGAAGCATTAGATTGGCTACTGGAGGATGAAAAGGAGACAGAGAAGGGCCTGTTGGCTGCTGGGTGAGGAAGTGGCAAAGGAGGAGGAACAAAGTTTGGGATTCTGGGAGGACAGGGTAAGAGGATTAAATTTGCTTCTTCCTTTTCCAATTTAAAATAATTTGACTGATGATTGTGATGCTTTAACACACTGAAAAAAGGACATTTTAATAACATTTTCCCTGACAATTGCCTCTACAATCTAATTTGGAGTGTGGACTTTTTATGATTTGCTTGTATGCAACACAAAAAATTGTTACATCCTCTTCCTCTGAGATTTGACAAAACTTATATAAAAATGACATTTTTCTCTAGTAAAATGATAGTAGGATACATCTGGAATGAACTCCCTTACAGCCATAGATGGGGCTGAGCAAGTAGTTCACTATGACTAATTTGATAAGACAAAATTTAAGGTTTGTTCTTGAACAAATCATGAAATTGTGTTATTCAAAATTATATTTGAATGTGTTCATTAAATGGGTCTGCAACTGGTGAACAACAGTTGGTTCAAATATTCACAATTTGTATTTCATTGTATGCTGGTGAGTTTCATAAAACCCTTGGTATTCTTTCTATTCTTGATTGGGTGGTCTATCCATTTAACTAATACATAGCAAATTGTCTCCATATATATCCTAGTAGGGACAATCAATAGTGGAAACTAGGGGGGCATTATGTCAAAGAACAAATGGAAGAGAATCCAGAGCATAGGTGGTGAGCAACTTGCTGAAATGGTGGATGAAGAAGAGACAGTTGTTTTAAAACAGATAGGTACTTCTGCAGGTACTTCTGCACCATGGAAAGGGGAAAAAAAGTCACTAGCCAAACAATTTCAATAGTAACACTCAACTATGAAGTCAGGAGAATCAATTAATGTAACAGACTTTCTCAAATCAAGAAAATAGCTGATACACACCCTAGGGCTTATGCATATCTTGCTTTATCTATATCCTACAAAGACCTATTCCATGTAAAAGGTTTATTTCAAAGTATGAATTAAAGAGGAAAAGGGTGTATATTTAAAATGTAATGTTCTGAGTCACTGACTACAAACACAGTAATCTATTAAGCTACAAGATGGTGTTTCAATTAGGCCTCATGAATGCAGTGGCATAAATAGATGCAACCACATACACTACAAAATACACACACAATTGAAAACACTTGTTCAGGAGAACAGGAATATAATGATATTTTTCATAGCTAAATGGAAAGGCAGATAATGAAGTCACAGATGCTGTAAAAACAAAGCAGGATTGCCAGTAATATAAATCCAGGCCATACATTAAAAGAAATTAGCAGAACTTTGTGAATCAAAGTATTCACAGGTGGTATCTGGACCTACCCTCTAAGATTCTAGAACCCTCATTGGTTATATTCTATGTACGTCATACATACAGGCATCCGGTAGCATTCCCAAACTACCAGGCATGATCCCACCCACACTCCACCCCCTCAGAATGCTTGCTGTAGGTGTTCAGGGGGCCAGGTGTTGCTGCCTCCTGCACCTGCCCTTCCAGTACTCCTGTCCGGGGAGGCTGGAGCCACAGCAGCCTCCTCCTTCTTTGGTGCTCTAGGTCTACAGCCATACTGCATGCTCTCCTCCCTCTTTCGGTGCTCTAGGCTGGGGAGGTAGAGATACCCTGCAGGTCTTCCTCCCGCCTCTGGTACTCCAGGAGCCAGGGAGATGAGAGACACACTGTGTGCTCGCCTCCCTCCCCCAGTGTTCTAGGGAGATGGGAGACATGCAGCACACCCTCTTCCTTCTCCCTGTGCTCCAGTGGCTGGGGAGGCTTGGGTGTGCATGTGTGCTTGCCTCCTCCCATCTCTTCCTCTCCCCATGGGGGTGTGGAACCTCAGCAAAGGGGTTGGGGCTGGGAGCCTGCATTCCCCAGCTGCATTAACTGCCCTTGGTTACACTGTGCATTAGATTACACCTGTGGTAAGGTAAAGGAAAGTACAAATTACATGCTCTCTGTAGGGGTCTGTCTTCACTGCCAAATTAATTCGGGCTCTTACTTAACTGGGTTGTTGGACACCCACAAAAAGCCAAACTCTCTTGGGTGTAGTGGTGCTTTACCTGAGCTGCTGTCTTTATACCTGGGTCAATAAGCTAAAGCCCAAGTGTTGCTCACACTCAGGCTGGTAACCTACTTGTTTTACAGTTTTCACTCAGGCTATCCCATCTGAGTGCTGATAGTCTTCCGATTTTCTCCTCCATGAGCCCAGAACAATAGACGGGTCCTTCCATAATTCCCTGGGAAGAATCAGGATGTGATTTAGCTCAGTGCAGGGCTAAGAACTGAAGGATACAACCCCAGAAATCCTAGTGCCTCACATTTAGGCATAGTATGAGTGTGGATACAGTTGACTGGAAACACAAGTATGTCTTTGCAGCGTGGCCGCTCAGATGTGGTTGCTCATCTGAATTAACTCTACACAGAAGAACAAAAGAACAGCCACACTGGATCAGACCACAAATCCATCTATTCCATTATCCTGTCTTCTGACAGTGGCTGGTGCCAGGTGACCCAAAAGGAATGAACAGAATCCATAATCAAGTGGTCCATTCCCTATCATTGTGAACTAGTACTTCCTTTGGTTTTAAATCTGCTGCTTATTAATATCATTTGGTGACCCCTAGTTCTTGTTTTATGAGCTGTTTTAATAGCCCTTTTTTATCTGCTTTCTATACACCACTTATGATTGTATAGACATCAATATTATCTCCCCTGTGTCATTTTCCAAGCTGAAAAATCCCAGTTTTATTAATTTCTCCTAATACAACATCTGTTCCACACTCCTAATCATTTTTGTTGCCCTCTTCTAAAACTTTTTCAATCCCAATTTTTTTTTTAGATAGGGCAACCTTATCTGCACACCATATTCAAGATGTGGCTGTACCATGGATTTATATAGACGCAATATGATATTTTGTCTTATCTACCCATTTCTTAATAATTCACAACATTCTTGTTGCTTTTTGATTGTGGCTGCACATTGCTTGATATTTTTAGAAAAGTATCCGCAAGGATCCAAGATGTCTTTCTTGAGTTGAAAAAGCTAATTTAGAGCCCATCCATTTGTATGTATAGTTGCGTGCATGTTTTTCAACATTCATAACTTTGCACTTAACATTCTATTTCATCTACCATTTTGTTGCCCACTCACCCAATTTTGAAAGATTATTTTTTTTTGGCAGCTCTTTGCAAACTGCCTGGGACTTAACTATCTTGAGTAGTTTTGTTTCTTCTGCAAATTTTGCCACTTCATTGTTTCACCTATTTTCCAGATCATTTATGAATATGTTGAATGGTTCTGGTCCCAGAATAGACTCTTGCGGGATACCTCTCTCAATTCTGAAAACTGACCATTTATACCTACTCCTTTGTTTCCCATCTTTTAAACAGTTTTCAATCCATTAGTGGACATACCCTATGCATCTGTTGTGGGCCCAGGGAAAGGCAACTTTAGTTTTCAGCATGGGATCAATAGGCATTTTGTGTCAGATGATGCAATAGGAAGAAGTCGAATCAGTGTAGGCAGAGTGGGCTCTTGACGTTTTCCACAACTGGAATTTTGTTCTTCCCAGCTTCAGAAGGCCATATGAGACTGGCCAAGCAATGGCAACAATCAAGACATATTTCAACATGAGAAGTGCAAAATAATCTATGAAAAGAGAAGCATGTAGCTCTCAAAATTGATCATACATATATATGGTTCATGGAGCCCAATTGGGTTCAAAATTGAATCTTAACAAGGCTTATAACAAAGCTAGAGCTTGAGAGGATTCCAGATCAATAAGTATCTTCTCAAGTCACATTAGTGTTATAAAAATACCATTTGGTACCTGCTCTGCAGTAGAACCTCTCCAAAATAGAAAGGCAATGCACTAACTTTTTCCTCATCTTCATAGATTTTTGAAAAAAAATCCCTCACTGGGAAAATATAATCTCAGAATAGCATTTTTTTCCTCAGAAACCCATTGTTCAGAATTAGTATATGGCTTTAATATATTAGTCACATACTTTCCTAACAGGGTTCTGTTGTGCTATTCTATTCATTTTCCATATGCAAAAATAACACAAAAGTTAACTATGTAGACTGAGCCAGCTCTCCTTCTGATAGGCACTAATTTCTGGGCAGGATGACATAGTGAGAAAGATTTATTAAGAACTATTCTTCTATGTACACCTTAGAGAAATATAACTAAAAAGACACAGAATTTCTGCAGACTGAGAATGTGAGAGGCATTTCAGAACATGTCAGCTAGGTGAATCTGCAACTGTCTTATTTTGACCCTCCAGCAGAAACAATAAATAGAGTAAATGCCAGATAGGCGAGGAGTAATCTTAAGGAAGAAAACAAGCAATACCAAGCACCAAATGCTAGTTCCTACATAAATATTAGAGGGAGGAGAAATAATGACAATGAGTTAAAGTAGTACAGGCTGTCTTTGAAAGCTTTTCCTCAAGGGAATTTATTTCTTTGTACTTATAAACTGTCAGGCTATTGCTTCTTGATTTGGAAGGCCAAAAGGAAACAGTCAACAGGAACAGAAAGACAGGGACTAAAGTGTCAAGAGTATGATATTCAATAGTATACAAACTTATAGAAAAGATAGTACTGTTGCAAATTTTTGTAGACATTCACTATGCACTGTAACAACTAGTCTTTCCATGACGAGGGAATAGCTTATCTCAACATTGACATAAATGCTGGGCCAAGGAGCTCCATGGGGCAAATTCTACTATTCTTACTTAGAACATGTAATGGCATCTCTGAACGCTATTACTTAAAGCAGGAACAGACCAGGAACAAACCAAAAGGGTTCCAAAATTCACTCTGATGACCCTTACTTAGGACGACTCTTTTCTTTAATTTAAGAGTATAAGAATGTTTTTGTATTATGAAAAACATTGTAATAGTTCCTTTAATCTTGGAATGTTTTGTACTAAGCCTGCCTTTACAAAAGCAACTATGTAATTCTTGTTTGTGCGAGTCAGGACTATGAGTGTTTAAACAGAGATAAGCCTGAAGGTCACCTTAGCATCCAGATGGCCAGAGGAGGGGCCAGAGACTCAGGAGCACCAACAACTACCAAATGTGCCCAAGGAGAGGCAACACCTAGAAAATTCATCAGCAGACTGAAGCTAATAATGAAAACACTCTCCAGATAAACATGTTGCAGTGACTGATTAAAACCTGATGCAACAAAATCCCTAAATTTGCATGAGGGGGGATTCTTATAAAAGATAGGGAGTCTTGCATGGAACTTTGTGTTTATCCTGCCAAACAGCAGCCTCAGATCTGGGACTAACAGAACCTGGCTCCCTCACGTGGGTCCAATCTAACTGGCTATTAGGTTGGTCCATGCTCACAAACTGTTAGAACATCAGCAGAACTGGTGTGTGTGTGAGTGTGAATGAATATATATGTTTTTATATTGTATTCTATATAAATGCAGCACATTACCTTTTTCCCTAAAAAAAGGTCTCATGTGCTTCTTACAAGCATAACAGGTCTATTTATAGAGAAAAGGCCTGAACACACTTCCTTCAACTGGGTTTGAATCAGGTCCTAAGGCACTGTTCAGTGAGAGCAAGAGTGGCAGAATACACCTCAACATTTAGAGCGGATTTAATAGGCAACTGAGGCCTGCTCCTAGTGAAATCAACGACAATCTCCTACCAGAGAGGAGGATTGGACCCAAAAAGAGAAGGATTGTTTAATTTAATATCGAATTTTAAATATACAAAAGGAGAGTTAGAGAATTTTATAGCATGTGCATATAAAAATGTTTCATGTATTCATAAGGTGTCCTAAAAATATATTGGTTGTAGCATACTACAGTCATCTGTGCAGAATGAAGCTTAAGTTATGATTGTGGGAAAAAGTATTATTTCCTTATATGGACAGAGATATAGAGGAAGTAGCAAAATCTTGCAGATTTTGTCTACTGGTTAACATACAAATAAAATGAGAGGCATTACAGAGTTAGTCTGTACAGCACTGAGCTAGAGGAAGGGATAAAAAATTTCATGGACCAGTCAAAAGTGATAAGAGTATCTTACAGAAAGAGACAAGTATTCCAGAACCCCTGTGTTAGCAGTAGGGTCACACATATTCAATTCTTCCTATCTTAGATAATCTACTCATAATGTGTGGGATTATATATTTATTTAAATTAGGCAATTCTCCTTTTTATGGTCAAGCCTCTGCAAAATTTGCAAAAGTGGTATTTAGAGGCAAGAAATACCACTAGTAAAGTCTAGTGCTTTTCATTCAAAGCCCATAGTCTCAATGTTTTGCAATGCAAAGTATTTGAACTGAACACACAAAGGGGGAGTATGTGCATGCAGAGTGCATCTGGATAGATAGGACTGGTGATGTGAGATACAGGATTATTCATTCAGAGGCTTTTGCTATTACTCTTCTCTCCAGTCAGTCCTTTGTTATGCGAAGTTATTATTATTATTGAAAATTCAGCATCTCATTAATTTGAATGATTGTCATTCTTCCAACCCAGTAAATAAGTGTTCACTATTTTGTCATTACTCTTGTTAATTTGCTTAAAAGTGAGAGGACCATCAAGGACCTTATTAAACTGGGATATTAATTTTCAAATATTTCATATACTATATACTTTATAGTCCATTTAAATTTAAAGTGATTCCTTGGAGTTTATTCTTTCTTCTTTAACTCCCCACTTATGACTTCCAAACAGAATACTCCATACTGATTGTCTATTGTCTCAGTTTTGAAAGCAATCCATGATTTGCCTTTATACCGGAGATCAGTGATCTGTAAGTCAAGGTATTACTGCACTGTAATACCTGATGTTTCAGAGGGAGGTAAAACAAACAAATGTGTGCAGTATCATAGCTAGTTAGATAATGCTGTAGAGTAGGCAGGTGAAAAATTCTTCTTAACCTCAGTTAGTTAAATGATAAAGTTATTCAGCCTTTTAAGTCCCCCACTGTTAGCACATATGCCTCTGGTGCATCTCTTAATAGATACGGAATGAAAATCAAAATCTGACCACACAATCATGTAATCTATACATCATTCACTATACATAAAGGATGAAACCCTGTCCCCAATGAAATCAGTGGGAATTTCAGTATTCTGCTTCAGTGAAGCCAGGATTTCACCCAAAGCCTTTGGCTTTTGAGTCTGAACCGTGGCCACAGGCAATAAGCACCAAAGGGCTATCTGTTCACTGATCACAGAATACTCCGGTCTCTCCTCTTCCCC